ATGTACACAAGTACATGTTTTCTATCCATGTGGCCGTGTTGGAGCACACAGTGAATCTGATTGGCATAGGTCCTTTAAGTCAATTCAACATTTGGTTTCAACAAGATAATTCACACAAGACGTCCATAATTCAATATACTCAAAATTTCAAGTGTTCGCCAGAATATTAAGCCCAATGTCTTAGAATATCAGTAACAAATCATATGAATATATATATAATGCACTTGAGGAAGGCATTGTTTTTGTTTGTTTTTAAACTCACAATCCTTAATAACAGCACAGTCTGAGTGAAGAATGTAGCTGAGCTTAAGTTGAACTGGAGACCCTGATTGAGAAGATTGTGTGGGACAGTGAAGCACAAAGGGGGAAATTATCACATAAGACCTTAACGGCCACATTTTGAGTAAAAAAATAAGACTATTGAATAATGCTCAACAGTGGCACATAGCCTGTCCTGATAATGGCGGATGTTTTATGATATAAATTAAATGTGAGATGTGTGGGTGGCTGATGATTTCTTATGAAACAATTATCTCAATGACTTGAAGTTAGTAGTGTATCACTCTAGGAGGCTTTTTTTGGCATTTGACTACACACCCTGATGCTAAAGCTGAGGTTAATTCAGGAGTAATTGTATGTTATGTGAATACAGGTTGATAGGATTTGATAATAGCTATCACAGGTTGATAAGTTTGCATAGACCCTTAAACCCAACCATCACCATCTCAGTTACAAACATTATGATTAAACTACAGCTCAGAGCAGCATACCCAAATTCACCCTTTGTACTTTTGGTCGATACAGAGTAAAATAAATATTATCAATATGATAGTTACATTCAATTATTCTTTTCTTTTTTTCCCTTTAAAAATTCTAAACTCTGTGGCACATAAAATAGTTTTTCGTTCATACTTTTTTTTTTGTGAATCTCTTAATAGCTATGACCAACACCAAAAGTGTTTCAATAAATCCATTTGTGTTCAGTGAAACCAGAGTCCACTATGGCTGCTTAGTACAGCATCACGATACAAAGCGATAAACTCAGACACTTTATTCAAAGAGGTACAAAGAGTGAATGGGGTATGCTCCCGAGACTTACAAAAACACTCGTCCGAGAGGAAACATATCCACATGTAAACATATATTGTGTTTGTGGTTTTGCTCTTTTCTCCAACAGCTAAAAAAAATAAAAGCATAAAACACTGTAGGAGCGTACAGTCCTGGGGGGGGGGACAAAGAGGGGAGGGGCAGTCGAGTTTGCGTCCTTCATGCAATAAACAACGCTTTCTTTAGCTGGCGATTTTCTCGATTTCATCCAGATCATCTGTGTCTAATCTTTCGATTTTCTTACCTGCAAAGGGAGAAACATTAGAAAGTGGTTAGGTTTAACTAAAGCCCCGACAAATAGCTGTTTACTAGAAGTCAGAATCTCCCTAAATAGAGCACGTCTTCTGTTTTTAACTGTCACGTTTAAATGCCACTCAAACTTATCAGTTTCCATAAAGCGTGTTTGTGACTTACTGAAATGCTCCTGGATCCTGTTGAGGATGTTCATGCTCATCTTGCCGTCCACCATGTTGATGGCCAGTCCCCTTTTGCCAAATCGTCCTGTGCGGCCGATCCTGTGCAGGTATGTCTCGTTGTCCGGGTTACCATCCTTGTCCACAGGCAAGTCAAAGTTGATCACCACAGAAACTTGCTCAACGTCGATACCTGCCAGACAGATAAATGGTAGTACACGGGCAGTACTGTATTATTTGTATGCTGGCATAGCACAGGCAGGGGCGTGTCCACACTTTCTTTCACTGGGGTGGCCCAACTCGAGCACCGACTAATCCAGGGGTGGCCGGAAGGGTGATTTGCGCACAAACACGCAAAAATAAATATCATTGGCAATATTTTGGTCCCGACACATTGTCAATAAGATATTGTGCATTACTTTCCCATGTACCTGTTTAATGAAAAAGATTTTAAAAATAAAATGTGCTCCATTGATAAGTAAAGATAACTACTAGTAGACTTCTGCAAAAAAATACCTATTAGTTGGTTTAACAGAAGTTCTGCCTCTGACAAGGTAAATAGCCAATCACAGTTTAGGTTTTTCTGGACACGCCCCTTAGTAGGGGCAAGTGTATATTTATTAATTCATCAGCATTTAGATTAAAACAGCAAAGGGGTGTTTGCATGTGTATTCAATGAACCAGGTAGAAATAGTTTCATAGTAAAAAGACTGCAATCCTTTCTCTTCTGGACCCTTTATGAATGTGAATATCTGCCTACTGTCATAGCGCTCAGTCCTCACCTCGAGCACAAACATTCGTGGTGACCAAAACCTTCTCCTTGCCATCTCTGAAGCGGTCAATGACAGCAGCCCTCTGCTCCACCTGCATCTCACCGCTGAGCAGCGCAACCTGGTGGCCCTCTCTGGACAGTTCCCCAGCAAGCCAGCCTGCTGTCTTCCTCGTCTGGATCAGACAGAGAACTGTCACATTTTCACCAGCTCATGCATTCATAAAAAATTCCTTTGCTTAAAGTGTTTGTAAATAAAAAGGGGAATAATTACTTTGTTCGGATGAAACAGAGAGGTCACAGTAGACACAATAAACAGAATTTTCTATTCCCATACGTAATGAGTCCACCATTGTTCATCATCTTTAATGAAGGTCAGGCATGTAAACATGAAATAAAAGGACTTACATGGCAGAAGATCATGGCCTGGGCGATAGTGATGGCTCCATAGACGTTACAGAGGGCTTGGAACTTTTCCTCCCTGCTGTTGCACAACACGTAGTACTGTTTGATGGTATCAAGGGTCTCCTCCTCTCTCTTTAACTTTATGATGTTTGGAGAAGGCACGATGCGCTGGGCAAAGTTCCACACTGTCTCTTCAAACGTGGCTGAGAATAGCAACATCTGGCAGGTTTGAGGCAGCATCCTGTGAGGCAGGGACAGGTGAGAGAGTAAAACGTCAAAAGCTGTCAAAATGTGGGCAGAAAGATTCAATCTAGGACTGCTATGTGTAAACGTTCATTCTGACCTTTGGATGCGGATGCTCTGGTCTTGGTGACCCTGTGTTGCGATCATGACATCTGCCTCGTCTAACACAAACACCTTGATCTTCTTGGGGTCGATGAACTTGAATTTACTGCACCAGTCCAGCATGGTGCCAGGGGTCCCAATAACGATCTGTTCCTGTAGCTTCATGCCCCTGGGCACTGGAAAATTCACAAGAAACATGCACTCATCAACACGCTGAGCCGTCTTTAAAACATCCTTCACGGACAGAGCGTCCACAGGTCAAACATTAACAAAAACTATTTCAAAATGTTTCCATTACAGTACAAACGTAGCACCGAATAAGCAGAGAATCCTTACATTTATTTCCTCTGATTGCGTAGACTAGTTTGACCTCAGGATAGTGCTTCCCCATCTGCTCGATAACCTTGCCAGTCTGAAGTGCCAGTTCATAGGTGGGTGACACACAGAGGCACTGATGGAAAGAAATCGGATTTGGGTAAAAAACATTAAGGGGTCTAGTCGTGATTATCATAATACTTTAGTCATTTTTGATACAGGCAGGAGGATAACCTCAAAGATATTTAAAAAAGAAAGTCATACATGCCATTTTTTTTTTTAAACTCAAGATTTAAATGAGATCTCCAGAAACATACCTGGGGATATTTGTTGTCAGGATCTACATGACTGAGCATAGCCAGAACAAAGGCAGCAGTTTTCCCTGTTCCTGACTGTGACTGAGCAATCAGATTCTGTGGACTAGAAAATAGCATGGAACTAGTTAGTAGTTAAAAGTGGTAAAATGCTTTTGTTGGTATACATAAGTATGTTCCAATAATTAATAGAGGTGTGACTGAAGTAGGGACATTTTGCCACGGTTAAGTATTCCACAAGATTTATGTTTAGTGTGAAGTCTACTCACGGTCCAGCCAGCATCATAGGTAAGGCAGTCTCCTGGATTTTAGATGGCCGGTTGAAACCCATGCCATAAACACCCTGAAGCAGCTGTGGCTTCCTACACAAATGAACAAAACTAATAAAATCTCTTGTTTTGGCATAAGTGTTTAATGAGCACAATATCCACTTGTTTTGGCATCTACATTTAAGTGAAGACTTTATGGTTAAAATAAACATTTTGTGGACAAAAAATCCTTTCCATCTGCATGCATGTTATCAACAAAACAAAGCCTGATTGATGGCTGTTAAGTAAAATATGTCAATTTACCCACCATGAATTAGTTCAACAAAAGAAATGAATGGCCTGATATACACTTCACTTACAGTCGCAACTCCTCAAAGGACTTGACTGAGTAGAGCGGAGAGTTGGGATCCTTCTGAAGAACTTCCACCTGATTGGTGTTATTGACAAGATTATTCCGGATTAGCTTGTTCAATAATGATTGTGCCGCTTTGTCATCTGGAAAAAAAAAAAAAAAGCGTTTACAACCCAGAGATATGCAGACATCTCACTGAAAGACGTGTAAGAATTTGAGACAGCAGTATATTAATATTTCAGGGAACGTATATAAATAACTGCCAACCTTTATCATCGTCCTCTGTAGTCTTGTTTTCTCCCTCGGGTTCTGATTTTGCAGCTGCACTACCCGAGTCTGTTGCGTTTGAAAGCGTGCCTGTGACATTTAATTTATGAATTACAATATTTAAACTCAAAACACTTTGTTGAAGCATTGTTTGGATTCTATTAGAGATGTTAATTTAGGAGACTTACCATTTTCCTCTGGTTTTTCTTTTATCTGAAGGTTACCAATCTGTAAGAGGCACACAAAAATATTAAATTAGCTTGTGTGCTAAAACAATGTGCTCCATTGTGTAACGGACGGTGGTCTCTGGTTGTCTATTTAGTGATATATCATCTAAGAATCAAACAGGGGCCAAGTCCCGACTACTACATTCATTTTTGGAGTTCTGTAAAAACAAATGTATGTAAATGTAAAAATAATTTACAAATTATCCCTGCACTCATGTTCACTTCATTTGTCTGTCTACTCGCCGTTATATTGTATAGTTTCTGCTGATAACGTGACTACACTCATGCACTTTGACCTATAGTATCACTGATTGCACAGCTCTGGACAGCTCCCTATGTCAATACTGTCCATTTACAACTCCGTTTTAGCACATGTACATTTAATCTTTCATATTTAAGACTAGTAATGCTTAGTTAAATCCTGGTTGTATATATTCCCATTCTTAGTTTTGATATTTTTAGTGCTTATTTACTTTGTATTTAATATTATATGGTGTTTGAATTTGCTAATATTGTGTTTTTTGCCAATATTGTGAGTTGGACAACCTGCTGCTGTAACGCCACAATATCCCAGTTTGGGATCAATAAAATAATTCTGTTCTATTCTATATTTAATTCTATTCTAAAAGCCTCTTCCACAGGTTTCATGTTAGCCAGCTAGCTGCTAAAGCTAAAGATTCATTGAGCACGCAGCGTCTGAACTGAAGCTAGTTAAGTTAGCTTTCACGACTTAGCTGAAGCCACCCGGCGTTTCGTTTTCAAGTCAGTATGAAGAGAATGACAGAGTGCCAAACTGGACAAGTGAGCAGTTTCAATATTTACAGATGCAGCGCAGATGCTACTTTCCTTTCACATTGTACAAAACAGGCCAAAGCAAACCAATAAACATGCTAATGATACGCTATCTTGTGTTGCGTAAGTTGAGGCTTACCGATTCCGCCGCAGCTTCTTGCTCGTCCACTGCCTGGGCCCAAGAGTCCGTAGCCATTGTGGGGGCAGTTTCTACTTTTTTTTGTTTAAAAAGATTAAAAACTCAATTTAGAAACTGAAGCGCAAGCCTGAGAGTACGGACCGAGCAACGTTTATGTGAAAGTAGCTAGTTTCCGGTTTCCACAATGGCGTGCCGAAAGTTGCACAGCAGTTTACATGTCCGGGCAGAAAGCAAAGCCTAACGCTGAACAGTTCCTAGCTAATTGAATGTGCTCAGGTGAAAAATGAAAGCATTAAATTAACACATGTAAACAAATGAATCCATTTTGAGTTAAAAAAACAAAACAAAACAAAAAAAACAAAACAAACAAAAAAACAAACAAACTTGTTATTAATTAAAATTAGAATTCGGGAGATATGATGCCGAATTAAAAAAAACAACAGTACTATGTCGAGACTGTAGGTGGCGTCAAAACTTTCTGCATAAATTCAACCTGCCTGCAAAATCTTAAAAAACACACACACACACACACGCACACGCACACGCACGCGCACGCGCGCGCACACACACACACACACACACACACACACACACACACACACACACACACACACACACTCGTACACATAGACTAATCCAAACTGAAAACTAGAAGGACCCGGACAAAGTACACATAGGCCTAGAGGCACTTTATAACCACAGCGAAACAGATCATTTAGACTCCAGATTAACTATGTTGCAATTGGTTTGCAATTAAAAATGTGTTTGTTTTTATGCACCAGCAACAAAAAATTGAATTGGAAAGGGCCTTATAGTAGATCATATTAGGCTATAGTTCTGGGACCTTGATTCTGAATGTCTCCATCTCTCGTAAAAAATACACTAAACACTTTTCAGAAAGCTCAGGAGAGTGGTTAAGAGCAGATAATCTATACTAATGAGATTCGAACACTCTTCCACAATCTTCCTCTCCTCTTGCCTCCTCATCTGCCCTTTGTTTATTCATTTCCCTCTGTGTCAGAGTGGACAAATGTAGTGAAGTAAAAAAGTAGATTTCTGACTCAAAAGTATACTTAAAAAATGAAGCCAGTATAGCATATTTCAGGGAAGGAACATGACAATTCTGAGCTATTTTTTTAACTTGTGTGTTACTTGAACAACATTAATCACCACTGACTATATATAGCGTAAGTGTCAAATAGATTTCTTGGATTTATGAGCATTTTCTGATCAGGCCTGGTAAAATAATGAACACAGGTTTTGGTTTTAAACTGAATTTTTTCACTTAAATCTAACAAATAAGGCCTGGTACTGCAGTAAAAAACTAATTTATTCGATCAAGGGGGGCTGCAGTTTACGGAATATTATGCAGTCCCTTACAAGAGGGTGCAGAGTGTTCATAACACAGTTTGTTATATGGTTTACTAAAAAAAGTATCTATCTATCTATCTATCTAACTAAAACTAACTAACTGAAATGATTCTGTACTTGTAAAACTAACGTAAAATAAAACAAATGCCTAAGTCTAGCTTAAGTTTTTGTCAATTTGTTGAATAAGCATGACGATATTAGACTGGGATGTAAAGGCCTATGACTGTGAGTCACTTCTCTCACAATGTGCTGGTTTTGCATTGCAATAGCCTACTCATATTGAATATCTTAACCCTTGTAAGTCTTAGCCTTTATCTGTGCTATTTTTGGTCCACCTGGTTTCTTTATGTAATAATGCATGTGTAACCTCAACCTTTTCAAGCACCATCAAGTTATGAACGTCTATTTTCTCAGAACAACCTGGGCTATCAGAGTGTATGCTGTATGTCAGATGAATTTATGCATGTGGCTCATATGTTTGTAATTTAATCATAAAGACCAAATAAAAAACAAAACATACATCTCACAGATCTTCATTCAAATTGCACAGAGATCAACAGACAGATCAAAACTTGGCTTTCAGGAAAAAGCAAACTATTTACATTTTCACACATTTTCTCCATGTGTTTATATTTATATTTATTTTATTATTTATTTATATACTATTAAAGTTATTATATTTAATCTATATAATGTATATATTGTGTATCTATTTAGTATACATCACATAATTATGCATATTTATGTATATGTGTGTTTATATATAATTTCTATAAGAAGCAGAATAAATGTGTAAAAATGTAATACTCCAAATGTGTTCTTAGGCGCCTGCCATACAATTTCATTTGTCCCCATAAAGATCTGTAATATGGTTCCGGAGATATTATAAAAAACACAAGTGCCATTTGGGGGCTCTAGATAAATATATCCCATGAAAAATAACCCCATGTAAAAAAAAAAAAAAGGCAGCTTCATAATGTACACAAAGGTCTCACTGGTCACAAACAGGGTAAAATAAATGTCATCAAGCAATAAAGCATTCACACCTTGACTCACTCTGACGTCTTACAATATCTCACTGGGGGGCTGTGAAGAAAAAGTCTGGATAAAGCTTGGGTGAAAATGTTGCATGTTTGCATTCACACATGCAGCTCCCTCTGAAGATTTCTGGAGGTTTTTCAGAAGTATTGTGCTTGTGAGAAAACACCATTGTAGTTTGTAGTACAGCATTGAGAGCTGTACTATTTATTCTCAACAAACCAACCTCTCATTTATGACACCTTTTCCTGTGTTGGCACTGTTGGGTGCTGTATCATAATTGTTTTAAGTGGAAATCTGGCTATTAACCAGAGCTGCTACTTGACACCCCTAACATGTAATCATGCAATGTTATTTGGATGTATTTTGGTTTTATATTTTAATTAATTTTGTTTATGTTCTTATGTGCTATCCAGTATGGCTGTTGATGACTTTTGTTATCATGCTTTTGGTACAAGACAAATTCACCTGGAGGCAATAAAGGTTTCATTCATTCATTCAGTTGGCCTCCACTATGGACCATACAGGAGCACTCGGGGTCACTTCTTAAGTTGGACCGATGCGGCTGGCTGCTCATTAAATGAATGCAGAATTGATTTTACACATTTCCCCCTGCTCCACTGGGATTGATAGATAGATAATGACAGTGGCTTTGGCTTGTGTTAAAAGAGATTACATTGATATCTGTTCCGCTGTCATCCAATGGTCATCTTCACTGCGTGTGTGTCAGTCCAAGTTTCACCACATATGTATTTGCATGCGTTAGTGGGTGTGTGTCAGCAAGCCAGAGAGTTTTTAAGATCGTCAGTTTGGAGACAAATTAGTCAAAGGCTTGAACGAGCTGAGTTTATTGTTGCCTCCAATCAGCTGCCTTGCTGGAGGTATCCATAGCAACTGAAAGAGTAAAAGTAAGGCTTGAGGTCTCTGGAGAATTTGGAAGATACAGAGAGGAGGACTTTGTATTGCCACATAAGGACTCATTTCAAGCACTGAATATGACAGAAAGGATATCAAAGTAGTGTGGAGGAGAAATTGGTTTTACGTGTAAAAAAAGGTAAACACTGTGTCCGTGAATATGTAATGAAGATCTCTTGAACACTACTTCATGCTTATAAATATACAGTATGTAACAGTTTAAGTAGGCAGAACATACTCTCCACCACTCTTTTTTTTTACTGTAACACTTCAGAGGGGTGCGAACCCAGAATCCTTAACCAAAGTCCTTCTGTGAAAGGATGATCTACCTCAGGTTGGAATTTTTAAAATAATGACAGAAAAGTAGAGCCAGAGTGTAAGCAGAGTGAGAGGTAAAGGATGTGAATTCGCCCATCTATTTGAGATATGCTAATGACACTTCTGATATTAAACACACACAAAAAAACACTTTTAACTTACCAATAAATGGCAAAAATCCCTCAGGTGGGATATAGTCCACAATGGAACAGATTCTTGTGTTGGTTCAAAGCAGACACTCACAGTTATGGAAGTTCAATTACTCTTTTATTAGAGTTTGTTATGTTGTCTTTCGCCGTTTTAGTTGTACTTTGCTAATCTGGTGCACAAAGTGCTGCAGGAGACCCATACCTCAACACAGCTGGTATTTTATACTGTACCATTTTATAGCATCAAATAACTGAACAAAAAAGAAACTTCTCAGAAAAAAAAGATGACTTGAAAAAAATATGGCAGGAAAGTAACTTTTGTGACAAACTGTGTTGGAGAAAAATGTATCTGATTATATCTATCAGAATTTATCACTGAATTTTGTTTTTACAGTTTGACCCATGTCCTATCTCTTAAAATAGAGGATGCAGGATTTATGACCTATACAGCGGTCAGTCAGCAGGGGGAGCTCTAAATCTATTGGCTTCACTTGAGTCAACGTATTTTACTGTCCATTCTTTATACAGTCTATGGTCCCATAAACCCCTTCTACATTTTATTTATCTGCATCTCTTAACCCCTATACCTAAGCTGTGCAATTCTCTGCACTTTTGTACTGTTGTTCTTGGTATTATGATGTGTCATGTAATCTTATGTGGGCTGGTCCATTTCAATGCTATGACATAAAAATTAAAAATTCTGTTTTATTTGTTCAATATTATAGCTGTTGTGATGACAAACCCCACTGGACAGCAGTGATAAGAAGTTGTAAAATCAGTTTTCTTGGTCACATGGCAGGTTTACAGTCAACAAAGAGAAGGCAATTCTTCTTAGTATGGCCACAGACAGACAGACAGTAGACAGCTCTACTGTATGTAGGCAGAACAAGTACAGGCAGACAGATCTGGACAGAGGTAGTGGGCTTAGTCAGCAGACGATCTGGGACAAAATAAGTTTTAGCCATCCTGGACTGACTGGTGACGAAATGTCTAAGCATGACTCTGTTGAATTATTAATTGTTTCCTGTTTTACTTTTTTCCACTTGACCTTTACTCTGATTTCAGTTGCTTTACCCCCTGCTAGTTTGTCTAACCCGTCCCTGATCAGTTTCATCTGTCCCTCATTACCTTATTATTATTCTTGATTTACCATCGGCAATCTTGCTGACACCTGTTCCTGCTGAGCAGCAGTCCTCACCTGTTCCAGAGCTGCAGTGGTCTCCAGTTTCTGAGCAGATTTAACCTCTTTTTCTGGGCTGCAGAATCTACCAGTTCAGTATAGCAGTCATTGAAGGCTTTGCTTCAGCACTTTCCTGTTTCCTTTGCTCTACAATCTCACAAGCTAGTGTTTCAGCCACTGGCCTCTGGTCCTGCATCCCAGCCACAACCTCCTGCTCTGTATTCCTGGCTTCAGTCT